AAAGAAGATCCTAAATAAACAACCTAACTCTACACCCTAAGGAACTAGAAAAACAAAACAAAACAAACAAAAGAAACAGTGAGCCAAAAGTTAACAGAAGAAAGGAAATAATGTAGATTAGAGCAGAAATAAATGAAATAGAGAACAACAACAACAAAAACACAATGGAAAAGATGAACCACACTAAGAGTTGGTTCTTTGAAAAGATAAACAAAATGAACACAACCTTAGCTAAACTAACCAAGAGAAAAAGAGAAAGAACACAAACCAACAAAGTTATAAGTGAAAAAGGAGACATTAAAACTGATACCACAGAAATTCTAAGGATCATAAGAGGTACCAGGAACAACTATGTGTCAACAAAGTGGACAACCTAGAAGAAATGGAAAAATTCTTTAAAAAATTTTTTTTAGTATTTATTTTTTTGTGAGAAAGAGAGCATGAGCAGGGGAGGGGCAGAGAGTGAGGGAGACACAGAATCCAAAGCAGGTTCCAGGCTCTGAGCTGTCAGCACAGAGCCCGACGCGGGGCTCGAACTCACAGACTGCAAGATCATGACCTGAGCTGAAGTCGAACACTTAACCGACTGAGCCACCCAGGCGCCCAAGAGATGGAAAAATTCTTAAACTTATAACTTGCCAAGACTGAATCAGGAAGAAATAAAAAATCTGAATAGACCAATTATTAGTAAAGAGATTGAATTAATCATCAAAAATATCCCAAAGAAGAAAAGTCCAGGACCAGATGGCTTCACTTGTTAATTTTACCAAACCATTAAGGAAAATTAACACTTGTCTTTCTCAAATTCTTCCAAAAAATCAAAGAGAATGGATCACTTCCAAACTCATTTTATTAGGCAATCTTTACTCTGATACCAAAACCAGAAAAGGACATTACTAGAAAAGAAAATTATGTGCCAATATCCCTGATCAATATAGACACATAAGTTCTTAATAAAATACCAGCAAACAAAATTCAGCAGCACATTAAAAGGGTCATTCACCATGATCAAGTGGGATTTATCCCTGGGATGCAAGGATAGTTCAACATACGCAAATCAATCAATGTGATACATCACATTAATAGAATGAAAGAAGAGAACCATATAGTCATCTCAACAGACACTGAAAAAGCATTTGACAAAATTCAATATCCATTCATGCCAAAAAGTCTTAACAAATTAGGAACAGAAGGAATGTACCTCAACACAACAAAGACCATGTATGATGAGCCCACCCTTAACATTATACTACATGATGAAAGGTTTAAAGCTTTTCCTCTAAGATCAGGAACAAGGTGCCCACTATCACCACTCCTATTCAACATAGTGGTGGAGTCCTAGCTAGAGTAATAGGCAAGAAAAAGAAATAAAAGGTATAAAAATTGGAAAGGAAGAAGTAAAATTCTATTTGCAGATGAGATGAAATTATATACAGAAAATCCTACAGATTGAAAGAAAAAACCTGTTAGACCTGATTAATGGATTCAGTAAAGTTTCAAGATACAAAATTAACATACAAAAACCAGTAGAGTTTCTATACACTAACAACACGTTTTCTGAAAAGGAAATATAGAAATCCCATTTACAATGGCATCAAAAACTATAAAATACTTACGAATAAAACTAACAAAGGAGGTGAAAGATCTCTATTCTGAAAACTATAAGATATTGATGAAAGAAATCAGAGAAGACACAAATGAATGGAAATATCCTGTGTTCATGGATTTTAAGAACTAATATTGTTAAAATAGCAATACTACCAAAAGCCACCTATGGATTCAATGCCATCCTATCAAGATTCCGATGGCCTTTTTTACAGAAGTAGAAAAATCCCTCCTAAAATGTATATGGAAACACAAAAGACCCTAAATAGCCAAAGAAATCCTGAGAAAGCAGGAGGTACCACACTCCCTGATTTCACGCTATGCTATTAAGTTATAGTCCTGAAAACAATACGGTACTGGCATAAAAACAGACAAATAGACCAACAGGATAGAGCCCAGAAATAAACCAAACTACATATGGTCAACTAATACTTGAGAAGGGAGCCAAGAATACTCAATGGAGAAAAGACTCTTCAATAGATGGTTCTGGGATAATTGGATATTCACCTGCAAAAAAATAAAGCTGAAACCATATCTTATACCATTCATAAAAATTAACTCAAAGTAGATTAAAGAGTTAAATATGAGACCTGAAACCATGCAACCCCTAGAAGAAAATATAAGAATAAAGCTTCTTGACATGGTCTTGGTAATGATTTTTTGGCTATGACACCATAGGCACAAGCAACAAAACATAATCAAATTAAAAAACGTCTGCACAGCAAAAGAAACCATAAACAACCTAGTGGAAAGACAACTTACGGAATGGGAAAACAAATTTGCAAACCATACATCTGAGAAGGGGCTAGTCATCAAAGTATATTAACAAACCCATAAAACTCAATAGCAAAAAATCAAGTAACCAGATTTAAAAAATTGGCAAATGTCTTAAACAGACATTTTCCAAATAAGACATATGAATGGCCAACAGGCACATGAAATGATGCTCAACGTTACCAATCGTTAGGGAAATGCAAATCAAAACCACAATGAGATATCGCCTCACACCTTTTAGAATGGCCACCCTTAAAAAGACATGAGAGAACAAAGACTGGCAAGGATGTGGACTGCTGGTAGGACTGCAAATTGGTGCAGCCACTGTGGAAAACAGTATGGAGGTTCCTCAAAATATTAAAAATAGAATCGCCATTTTATCCAGTAATTCCACTTATGGGAATTTATCCAAAGGAAATGAAAACACTGAAAAGATACCTGCACCCCGATGTTCATAGCAGCATTATTTACAACAGCCTAAACATGGAAACAACCCAAGGGCCCATCGACAGATGAATGGATAAAGAAGAGGCGGTGTGTATAGACAATGGAAAGTTACTCAGCCATAGAAAAGAAGGAGATCTTGCCATTTGCAACAACACCGATGGACCTAGAAATACTATCTGATCTCACTTATATGTGGAATCTAAAAAAAAAAAAAAAAAAAAAAAAA